TCTAGTTATCTAATGAAATCTGTGTACCCAAGGAGCAAGTATATTTTTAGGGACATATTCGTAATAATTTTATTATACTACCAAAAGAATAGAGTGAAAACCTACAAAGTTAACAACAAAGGACCATTATAAATAACCACATGCACTTATGCAAAGTGATAGTTATCTAAGACCTGTGCTAAGGGGGAGGGGGCTGTAGAAATGGCTTAGGAGAACAAATGGTCCCTAATTCAATCCCCAGAACCCATCTATAAAAGTTAGGGGTGGTGACCAATCTTTAAGCCAGAGATACATAAATCCCTGGGGCTCACCAGTAACCAGTGTTGCCTCTGTGGCAGGTTTCAGATAAAAGTGAGACGCCCTGTTGCATGAAAGAACTTGAATAATGTCTGATGTCTGAGATACAGAGCCAAGCCTATCCTCTGTCCTGCATGTACACACATTCATACCTGCATACACACACACACATCTATACTCACACACATATATATTGACAACAAGTCCAACATCATTGTATTAAAGATAACACGAAAGCTTAAATAACCACAGTATAGAGAGTAAAATTATGGAACACAGAAAAATTGCTAAGGGGATTATGCTCAATGTTAGCGTACGGATTATGGTCAGATTGCTTCTCTTTTGCAGTGTGAATTGTATGGGATTTTTCCTTTTTCCAGATTTTTGTAAAAAACTGTGGTTATATTACTTTCTTATTATCCAAATGTAAGCTGAATACAAGATGTTTATTTATTTATATTTTATGTGTATGAGTCTCTGACCTGCATATATTTAAGTGTACCACCTGAGTGCAATGACTGGGGCCAGAAGAAAACAGATTCTCTGGATTTGGAGTTACAGATGGTCATTTTCTGCTATGTGGGTGCTAGGAATTTACCCCGTGATCTGCAACAGCAGCCAGTGTCCTTAACCATTGAGCCATCTCCCTAGCTTTTACATATAAGTTATTATTTCATGAAGAGGAAAAAGCCTACATTTTTTTCACTATTCTCCTAATTGGGATTTATTTACACAGCATCTTAATCCTACCCATCCCTTCTCCTTCCTTCCAATATGCCCCACCACCCAAAATATCTCCCTTTTGTGTCATCCCCTATTTTTGCAGCCAAATAAAATATTCTAAATTCACACTTTGGCTGTACCTTTGAAGTATGTAGCAAAAAAAATTATTAGTTGCTTCAAAGCAGTTATTAGTTGCTTAAAAATAATTAAAGGCTTAAAATAAATATTAATTCCTCTAAAATAATTATTACTTCTTTTGGCAAAATGAATTTATTCCTCATTATGAATTGAATGATTATTAAAATAATCCGTTTATTTTCACTCATAACCGTATAATAGCTCCATTACACTGAATAGACACAAGCCTACATCCTGAAAACCCAGGTGTAAAATGATCCCCTCAGATGCTTTTTCTCTCCTTAAAGAAATAGTACCTTGTTTTGCCTTTAAAACACACAAACTTCTGACCTTTTGGTCCATCATCAGGATCTGTGGCTGCAGTTTTTAGGTGTTAGACATGCATTGCTTTTAGATTTTTTGTGCCTGTCGTCTGCAGCAAAGAGGAATGACTACAAATTGGTGGATAGCAGAATTGCATTTTTTAGCTTCCACGCATAGTTGCATTTTCTCTCAAACTCTGTGTGTGTGTGTGTGTGTGTGTGTGCGTGTGTGTGTATGCATTCAGAATAGGATGTATACCATGAATTCCCAGGGAAGGAGGGGATTGAAGTGGAAATGGAATGAGAGACTCCTAGTGAAACTGCTCTCTGCTGCAGAAATTCACAAGGGCTTCCACAAAAGCAGCTTTCTTTCCGGGCTGAAAAAACCCAGTCTTCTGTCCTCCGGTTTTCATTCCCATGTTCCCAATTTTCCTCCTGCAGGCTTGTTCCAGAAAGCCATCATCCAAAGCGGTACAGCCCTGTCCAGCTGGGCAGTGAATTACCAGCCTGCCAAGTATACACGGATCCTGGCAGATAAAGTGGGGTGCAACATGTTGGATACCACGGACATGGTGGAATGCCTGCGCAACAAGAATTACAAGGAGCTCATTCAGCAAGCCATCACCCCGGCCACCTACCACATTGCCTTCGGCCCGGTGATTGATGGGGACGTCATCCCGGACGACCCCCAGATTCTAATGGAACAGGGCGAGTTCCTCAACTATGACATCATGCTTGGTGTGAACCAGGGCGAGGGCTTGAAGTTCGTGGATGGGATCGTCGACAGTGAGGATGGCGTGACGCCCAATGACTTTGACTTCTCCGTGTCCAACTTTGTGGATAACCTCTACGGTTATCCAGAAGGCAAAGACACCTTACGAGAGACCATCAAATTCATGTACACAGATTGGGCGGACAAAGAGAACCCAGAAACACGCCGCAAAACCCTGGTGGCCCTGTTCACCGACCATCAGTGGGTTGCGCCAGCCGTGGCCACCGCAGACCTCCACGCCCAGTATGGCTCGCCCACCTACTTTTACGCATTCTATCACCACTGTCAAAGCGAGATGAAGCCCAGCTGGGCAGATTCTGCGCACGGTGATGAGGTACCGTACGTTTTTGGCATCCCCATGATTGGCCCCACGGAGCTGTTCAGCTGTAACTTCTCCAAGAACGATGTCATGCTTAGTGCCGTGGTCATGACCTACTGGACCAATTTTGCCAAAACAGGGTATGTGCTTGTGTGTGTCTGTGTGGATGTGTGGTAGAAGGTTCTATAGAATCAAGGTCACACACATTAAAAATCTCACCTTTCCTTCCCTTCCCTTCCCTTCCCTTCCCTTCCCTTCCCTTCCCTTCCCTTCCCTTCCCTTCCCTTCCTTCTAAATGAAGCTTTTTGCTACTCTAACATTCCCTCCTTGGAAGAAGTAACCTTAAAGTCTTTTAGGGATTAGATAAACGCTCCCAAATATTTTTTTGAAATTTTTGGCCTTTGGAACAGAGTATGTTGCAAAGAAGCCCAAAGACATTGTGAGTTTTAGCCAAGAAACTGGCTACTTTTATTTGGGGTCTTTTTTATCCTAACTGCCTAGCCAATTCCTATCTCCTGTTCTTATCATACCACCCTCTGAAAAGCTTACCCAACTTGTGGACAGGAAATCAGGACACAGACCGCTCTGGCTTCTTCCATGCTGAACAGGTACGCAGGGTGAGGCAATTGGAGTACCCCTTCAGTGGGTCTATCTAAAAGACTCCAGAATTGCATAACTCTTACCACTAAAGGGAAAAGAAAGTCCTTGAAGACTGAATAGATGTGAAGGAGAAGTAAAGGCAAGAGGAATTAGCATTACAAGTTCTAGACAGGGAACTAGAAAAGTCAGAACAGGGCAATTTTCAAATCTTCAGATGAGAATCCAATGGAATTTCTTGACAACGGCTTCCGAAGCCATCCCTCTATGGGGTTCCTCCTCATTTTTCTTTTGTCTTCCAAGGTTGGACTCAAGAATGATGCATTCAGGATTTGCTTTCAAGGCATTTTGATAGCTGTTGGAGTGGTTAGAATCAGTGTCAGTTCCCTCTCAAAGGCTTCTAGATAGAGGGAGAAAACAAATTTATCCATCATTTTAGAACAATAGCTGGTTGTCTCCCTTAGGTACAGGTGGGCACTACAGTACTGGGGACCAAGATTTGGAGTGTCACATCTGAGCATCACTTTCTGGTTAAGAACAAAATCATCAATGAGAAATAATTGCCTAAATAACATTTTATATGGACTTAAGCCTAATATCTGGGAAGTGTAATCCCTTGAACTCTTAAAGATACTGATAACTTTAATCTTTGGTTATACTTTCCTTTTGAGTGTTTAAGACTATACCATTGGCCCAAATAAACCAATTTATTTTTACTCTTCAGATCTTTGGAGGATCTGTTCCTCAGGGGTCACATGGGCTTGGGAGGAGCCCCTGGCACTTTCTTTTAGCAGGTCCCATCTATGTGAAGATAAGTCAAAGGTCCTGCTCAACTGTGGCTGGCCTCTCTTGGAAGCATTGAGGAAATGTTTCCTCTGAGTTGACCCTCCTCTTTGTAGGCTGGACACTGGTTCAAGTCCATCTGGTGGGGTCTCCATGGCCTCCCAGAACAGGAGGAGAGGTGACTCACCACAGTTACAGTTACGGGACATTTTAAGAGATGTTCCATAGTCCCCTGAAACTTAGTCGACCTTGGAGGGCAAGGGGCAAAAACTGTCCTTTAAGTCCCTCTGACCACATTAGTATAGACCTCAAAGTATGGCTGTTAAAATATCTACATACATATTTTTAAAAATATTTTACTGCTTATTTTTATTTTGTGTGTAGCACTGTGTTGCCTGCATGTATGTAAGTGCACCTGTGTTGTGTAGTGACCAAGGACATCAGGAGAGGGCCTCAGATTCCCTGGAATTGGAGTTGTAGATGGTTGTTAATCATCATGTGGGTGCTGGGAATCGATCACAGTTCCTCTGCAAGAGCAGCCAGTGCTCTTAACTGCTGAGCCCTTATATTTTTTGAAATAGTGTTTTCACAAGAGTCAAAGAATGGCTTATTTCTCAGGCTAGAGGAAGAGCCTGGTTGGTAACCAGTTTGCATTTCTTGCTCCCCAGAACCCACATAAAAGCTGGGCACAGGGCTGTGTGCCTCTCACTGCAGATGGAGAATGGTTAGACATAAGCAAAGCCCCAGAGCTCATTGGCCAGACAACCTTGCTAAACTGCTGTGCTCTAGATTCCGTGAGAGACTTTGTATCAACAGATGAGGTGTGAAGCAACCAGGGAAAATACCTAGTGTCTACCTCGAACCTCCACATACATACACACACACATACACACACACATACACACACGCACGCACACACCCACACATGCAGGATGAAAAAAAATGATAGTAATTATAGGAAAATATACATGAATAAATTTCTGTACATATTGATGTATGAATTGCATATCTTTATATAATTTATCGGTTTGTACACATATGCACACACACATGAATCTACATCCATGGACAGTTGGATCTGATCTCTACACAAACACCAAGATGTGTGGATGTTCCACTTGCTGGGTCAACACTGTATGGTGCTAACACATAACCTGATCACATATCTCCACATGCGTTGAACTATCTCTACATTACGTTTACTTAATCAAATGTGTGTGCTTTGTGAATAGTTGTTCAATTAGTTGTTCAACTGTACTGTTTAGAAGATGATGGAATCAAAAAAACTCTACATGTAGTTGGTACAGATACAGTTAGTTCCAAACACTTTTCATCCATGCTTGGTTGAAGCTGTCACTATGGAACCCGAAAACACCAAGGTTGGACCAATAGAGAGATGGATCAGTAGATGTATGATAGTACATAGTAGATACGTAAATTCATAGATAGGGCTGGATGGATATAGAAGTGAATAGATGATTGGTGGATTGATGGGTGTCCGGAAGGATGGATGGATGGTGGGTGGGTGGATGGATGGATGGATGGATGGTTGTATGGATGTATAGGTAGATAGATAGATAGATAGATAGATAGATAGATAGATGATAGATACATGGATAGATAGATGATAGATAGATAGATAGATAGATAGATAGATAGATAGATAGATAGAAAGATGATAGATAGATAGATGATAGATACATGGATAGATAGATACATAGATAGATGATAGATAGATGATAGATAGATAGATAGATAGATAGATAGATAGATAGATAGATAGATATGGTAGATATGGTAGATATGTAGATAGACAGATAGATAGATACATGGATAGACAGATACATAGATACATAGATAGATACATAGATAGATGATAGATAGATGATAGATAGAATAGATAGATAGATAGATAGATAATAGACAGACCGATAAACAGATAGTAGACAGATGATAGATAGATAGATAGATAGATGATGGTTTACTAAATAGATCTATAAACTATTGATAGGTGATATATATACATGATTGGTATGACTGGATGAATAGATAGATGGATCAGTAGATGATTGCTAGATGATAGATTGATAGTAACAGTGTATGATAGATTATAGATGAGAGATAATAGACCATTGATAATAGGTTGATATGTAGATTCATCATTGACAGATAATAAATCGCTGATGATATATGATTGATAGATGTATAGATAGAACATTAACAGACAATAGATCGAAGATACATAAATAATTGATAGATAATGCATGATGGTAGAAAATGGATAATAGATTACAGATCATCGATAGATGACATTGTTTGTGATAGGTCAATTGTGACAGGTGATAAATGACAGATTATGGATGGTATTTGATCATAGGTAGTCTGCTTTACAGATAGATCATTGATAGATAACAGGTTGGTGGTAGATGATAAATATGGTAGATAATACATGAATGATCAATAATAGATAAAAGTTAGGTACAGAAATCAAAGATGATAGATCGCTAGAGATAGTTGATAGAAAAACAGACAAATAGATGGTACATTAGCAGAGACATGTTTTCTCATACACAGACTTCATACATTCTTCAAGGTATAGAATGCAATATACATCATGATATCTGTATATCTATATGACTTATGATAGTCCATTACCACATGTGCAACTCTATGTGAGCAATGTTACATGCATGTATAAATCTAACACTAACCATAAAAACACAGAAAAGGAACACGAACAGCAAACTATGTTCTACTGAGCAATCTAGTTTCTAAACCATGAGAGACAAGTGCCCCCATGTGTGATGGCATAGGATAAGTGGCCCCCATAAGATGGACAGACAGATGTTTGATGAACTGATGGATACTTCCTCCCCCATGTGCATCACTTCATTTGTCTCTGGTACAATGTAGTAATTGTGGAAATTAACGAGGTAGCACTCTGATCTACCTGCCTGCCCTGGTGTCATTAACCTTGAACCACTTGTGCAGACTTAAAGATGGAGACCCTCGCAGCACAATGAACTGCTATATCTTGCCCTGCGGTGCGCGGTGTCAGAAGCGGGCTGCACCGTGCAGTAGCCGAGATGTGCAGATGCATTTTGAGGTACACATGTGGAGATGGCAAAGGGCCTGTTGCTTTAAACTATAGCCAGCATCTTTCTTTACAATGATCCAAAACACAGTTTGGGGCAAGGAGTAGTTTAAGGAGATTCAGTCGTCTTAACAAATACATGGCACATTTATAGAGTGGAAATTACATTGATTATACATCAACTGTCCAGAGTCAACCTTTATACATCTGGCCTCAGGAAATTCACTGCAACCAGAGTTGAAAATGAACAAGGTAGAGGCATTTTAGAGCAACGCTTTTGGGCAACACCGATTGTCTTGAATTCTTGCTTGAACAAGGTACTGATTGAAGTCAAGCCATCAAGTATTGTAAGTAAGACTTCTTGATTAGTTTCTTAAAGATGCCTCAAGAGCCAAACCTTATATTTATTTAAATCACAGAAACATAGCTCAAGATTCTAGAGGTCCAAGAGAAACTATGTCACAGGGAAATCTCACAGGAAAACCTAGTCAGTGGTGGTGGTGCTGGTTCTAGTAGTTTGATGACAGTTCCTCTTTTTGCTGCTGTTGTTTTTCTTGGTTTTGGTCCAGTCTTTGCTAAATCAGTCTCATCTCTGCCTCTCGCTCTAAAACACATTCCTCGTGGCGTCTTTCTTGACATTCCATGGCCGTTCTTCTGATCAGGGCT